CTGTGGGCGTGGGAGAGGGAGAGGGAGAAAAGCGTTAATATCGGTTATTTTTATTAGAGATAGAGACAGTAGTAGAGGAGAATGACGATGATAACTGATAATGAGGAGGATTAGAAATTGTAGATTAGATGAGATGGATTCATAATGATGGTGTTTGATATTTGTAGATTTGTAGATGGAGAGATGGGCGGGATGATAGGAGGAGGGAAGGGAGAAGGAGAGAGAGCGAGAGAGAGAGAGAGAGAGAGAGAGAGAGAGAGAGAGAGAGAGAGAGAGAGAGAGAGAGAGAGAGAGAGAGAGAGAGAGAGAGAGAGAGAGAGAAAGAGATAGACAAACAGACAGACAGACATAAAGTGAGAGAAACAGAGAGGGAGATGTTAAGGATAGTGAGAGGAACCAGAAAGAGAAAAAGTAATTGCCCCTAGAATAGATAAGAGAAGGAGATTGATAACGAAAGGAAGTGTAAGAAAGGAGATAAGAAAATGATGTGATATTGTATGTATGTATCCATGCATGTCTGTTTAATAAATATACTTGTCTATGGACGCACATGTACGTATCTATGTATATACACATATGCATGTATTCATAAATGTATATGCTTGTATACTTACATATTAACACGTATTTCTATATGTATATTTGCTTAAGTTTGGCATGTGGCTGTATAAGCATTTGCAAATTTGATTTACTTTAATTTACACTCACACATGCATATTTCATCCCACTAGTCATAACACATTATCATATTTGATTTATGCATTTTTTATTTCATTGAAATACATTATTCAGAAGAGAGTAGAATATCACTTTGTCTCAGTATTTTCTATATATCGGTTACCTTTAATTGTATCGGTCTATTTATTTATTCATCTGTCTGTCTCTTTGTCTTCCAGTCTTGTTTGTCTATATATCCTTCTCTCTCTCTCTCTCTCTCTCTCTCTCTCTCTCTCTCTCCCTCTCTCTCTCTCACTCTCTCTCTCTCTCTCTCTCTCTCTCTCTCTCTCTCTCTCTCTCTCTCTCTCTCTCTCTCTCTCTCTCTCTCTCTCTCTCTCTCTCTCTCTCTCTCTCTCTCTCTTTATTTACTTGTTATGTATGAACAAATGAATGTATGTATGTATGCGTGTAGTATATATGTGTGTGCATATATATGCATGTATAAATAAATAAATATATATATATATATATATATATATATATATATATATATATATATATATATATATATATATATATATATATATGTATATATATATTACATACATTGCATATATTATTACAAGGACTCATGACTGTTTGATAAACCAAACTCTCCGTAACATGGTGATATTGATGTATTAGTGTATGCATGGATATATATATACCATTTATTGGTGATATATCAACGACATTAAACAATGATAGTGGTGACTGCCCCGTTAATGTTTACATGGAAAATAATTAAAACTCTATTTATGACGAATACACCTGTGGCTCTTAACAAATCATGATAATTAAAGCCATTTCAGAATCATATAATTATGATTTGTTATCATGGATGTATACAGTAATAAGGATAATGATAGCGCGGTTTGATTAAAATCCTTATTATTAAAGGCAGTGGAGCAATAGTAGTGCTAGTAATAGTAGTAGTAGTAGTAGCAAGGATAATATTGTTATCATTATTATCATTATTATTATCATTATCTGCAGACAGATAAAACAAAGGAAATAGGAGGGAGAAAGCAAAGTAAGAGAAAGCGATATATATATATATATATATATATATATATATATATATATATATATATATATATATATATATATATATATATATATATATATATATACATAGGTAAATATGTATGTATGTATGTATGTGTATATCCACCGAGAGACCGAATCCACGACAGACCAAAAAATACAAAACCCACTCAGAAAACAGAAAAAAAAACCAGGAAGACTAAACCAATCGAGAGACCAAGCCTATCCCTCTGAGTCCTTCGCCGTAAGACCGAAAGAGAGAGAGAGAGAGAGAGAGAGAGAAATAAAGAAAGAAAGAAAGGGAGAGAGAGAGAGAGAGAGACAGAGGGAGAGACAGAGAGAGAGAGAGAGAGAGAGAGAAAGAAAGAAAGAAAGGGAGGGAGGGAGAGAGAGAGAGAGAGAGAGAGAGAGAGAGAGAGAGAGAGAGAGAGAGAGAGAGAGAGAGAGAGAGAGAGAGAGAGAGAGAGAGAGAGAGAGAGAGAGAAGAAAGAAAGAAAGGGAGAGAGAGAGAGAGACAGAGAGAGAGAGAGAGAGAAAGGGAGAGAGGGAGAAAGAGAGAGAGAGAGAGAGAGACCGAATTTCGCGTAATCCATAACGGTCTCCCATGAACCGAAGCAGCTAAAACCTTTACCACGATTCATAAGGTGAAGTCTATTAAAAAGTAATAATGATAAAGGTGATGATTGAACAATATATGATAAATACGTAATAAGGATAAAATGACAATAATATTAAGCTAAAACCATGAGGTAAGATA